TAAGGAAAAAAAATTATCAATTCCTCAACATAAAACAATTAAATCAAAGCCATTTGAATTAGTATGTATTCAATTGTTAAATAAATTAAACAAGCTTAAAGAAAAAGCGACGATCGGAATTAAACGGCGAGCATTTACCTTAGAAATCGAAGAGGATCAAAATGCAATTGAATTCGCGACCTTTGAATGAATCGATAAATACGAAAATTTTCTGCAAATGGAAGTGGAAATTTGACTAAATCTCCGTGTTTTTTCTCGTTATTAACGTCAGCATTTGCTAGGAATTTTATACTTGACCGTACACAAAATCTAAAGTCAACTATGATCTGCTTTGTTTTGGTCCTTCAATTGACTTCGTGGGTCAGGGTTCAATTCATACTACTTTTAATAAAGGTAAAATTGCAACAGTAGACCCTAAGCTTTTAATGTCCACGGCGGTGCCGGTGTAGGGTGGCAGCAACGGTTACTTATTTTCAAGAGTAATGATATTCATCCCCACTAGAGTTGAGCCACAATCTATCTGACAATTACAAAATATTAAATTATATATTCATTTAAATACAAAATCACATGACTCATTTAATTATATTTATCATTAAATGTCATGTAATTGCCACATAGATTAAAGTTGAACCTCCAGTGAGAATGAATACCATTATTCTATTTTTAAGGCTGGGGTGGGGGTAGGAAACGAGTTGAGGAAGGAAAATAAATAGATAGAGAGAGAAAGTCTTTTTATTTATTTATTTATTAAATTTTTTAGTTAATTATTTATTTATATTAAAAGTGTAAAGATATTCTTTTGCCCTTTTAAAAATTGATCAAAATTTATTCTTTTGTCATCTATCGGAAAAGTAGATGGATTTCATCCATTTGAACTCCAGATACATATTTCTGAAAGTTTAGAGATCTTTGTTGGGTCAAATGAAAGTTAGGATAAAGTCTACAAAAATTGAAAATAAAATGGACTACAGGTACAATTTTTCCTACGAATAACCATTAATTAGGGTTTATTTTCTATATTAGACTAAAACAATTAAAATATCCAACATTTTGAAAGTGAAAAGCATTATTTTCTATATTAGACTAAAATAATTAAAATATCCAACATTTTGAAAGTTAAAATGAGCTTTCATAACTTGATCACAATTATAATTCCAATGATTTAGCCCCCATTTGAAATGAATTAAAATTTAAAATTTAATCTAAATCAAAGTCAATATTTAATTTTGATATTTCATGGGATTCATAACTTTTCAACAATATATTTCATTAACTTTTATTAAAATTTACTGAAAGTTTGATTTTAATCACCACCAAACATGGACTTAATCTGAAAACTGTGAAGAAAAATGTGTGTTTGATGGATATTATTTTGGAAGAATGTATTTTGAAATAGTAGATTGATGGAGAATGTGTGATTGAAAAAGAATGAAAAGTTATTGATATAATAGAAAATATTATTTTATTGAATAATATATGGTTGAAAATTGATAGAAGAATTATAATAAAAATTTTAATGTGTGTCGAACAGGAGAATGAAAATTCTTTGTTGCTTGGTTTTCAGTTTCCACGTGTTTGAATAATGTAGTAAAATCCAATTTTGGAAACTCGAATCTAGTGTTATAAGAACCGTTTGGTAGAAATTATAATCTAAATTTTTGTCATA